CTTTCTCTTGCCCCATCATCTGAGTCATTTAGTCCTAGCTTCAACACTCACCAGGCCAAAAGCAAAGGCAGAGATGTGTGGGAAGGAGGGGGTGGAAATTTTCATAGATATGGATTGGAATATACATCATCTTACCATTCACATAGAAGACAGAGTGCACGTATCAAGAGTCAAGTCAACACTTTAATAAATCAAGGCAGAACATTCAGAATCTCTTTCTGGTTTGTAAGAAGCAAAGAGTTGTGAAAGAGAGTGTTTGTTAAAGGTTGAGAATTTACTCACTGTGTGATTCAGTTTTCTGCAGAAGAAACCAAAGACTACCTGGAACCAACGGAGAAAGACCAACAGTTTAATAGCTGCACAGGTTTTCTTTCCACAACACTTGATCTACCATAGAATCAACACTGGGCCCGCTACTATGCTAAAGTTAGCGTTAGCACTGCATAGCATAGCATAAAAAAGCTAACAGCTAACACTGCAAAAAAAACCTTGCTCAACTGCCTGCAGCTGACATGCAGAAACTCCCAGGAAGCTTCTGTTGTTACTCCAACCTTTCTCCAAGAGTGATTCAACTAAGCTTTGATGCACAGTGACTGTGCCAAAACATTTAAATATGCAAACAGGTGTAGTTTGGATGACAGGTTGGCTGGAGCATGCTGCATGTCAACTGCAGGCCAAATTTTTTTTGCAGTGTAAGGTGGTTTCCATGATGTTCCGCAGAATAAGGCTGTAAGGAATTAGAGTAAATTTCCCTCTGCTTAAATTTTGTGTCCATTTTGCACCTGCTGTAATTATCCTTGGCATCAGGCAGGCTGACAAATAGTATTTCTTTTGGTGATGACCACCAGAAGGATTGGTGGATGTATGTAGACTGGTCCAATGCAAATGCCTAGCTAGGAACAGAATGAGGGATGAGGACGGCATTTGATTATTCAAGGAAGTTTATAATGTTGAACGGTTTCATGTTTCTTCTCCTAGTTTGCAGTGGACTGTCGTTGAGAAGAACTTTCGGCCGATGAGATGAGACAACTCACTCTTCTCTCACTCACCTTACGGCCAACAACAACTCAACTACTGTCTTCCCAGCGCATAGGACGATTGACCGCGAATGTCTTCTTCCACGGGCAACCACGTCTTGCGACTCTCGGCCGAGCATTATCAACGAGCCAGCCATCAAGCAACAGGAGAGAGAATATCTACACCCTCCCCAACCTGCTCACATCCACCCGTATCATACTGTGTCCTCTGCTGAGCTACACGATCATTCACGATCACCATCTGCTCAGTGGCGGCCTGCTCTTCTACTGTGCCGTCTCGGACTGGTTCGATGGCAAGCTCGCCCGCATGTATCCCCATCGAATGGCCAGCGTCCTCGGCACCATCCTCGACCCCGCCGCGGATAAAATCTTGATGACTACCTTGGTCCTCAGCTTGAGCTATAAACATTTAATTCCCTGTTGAGTCTCTTTTCTTTCTCTTCCTTTTTCCGACTACATACTTGCTTATCTCCCCCTTTCTCTTCCAGTACCCCTGGCTGCCATCATCATCGGGAGGGACGTCCTCCTGTCCCTTTCCGCCTTGTACTTCAGATACCAATCCTTACCAATTCCAGTAATTCATACATATCTTTTCTTTCCTTGCGCGTGGATTGCTAAGGTAAAACTGACGACCAATCATCATTCTTGAAAAATGTATGCACCAAGAAAACCTTTGGTCGGTTCTGGGATTTTTCCTTACCATCGGCGCAAGTGACGCCCACCCAAATCAGTAAAGTAAAATACCCTTTACTCGTTTATTCTGGTGATATGGAAACCATCCGCGATTCTGACATTACAACTTTTTTGCTCGAAAACACTTCCTTGTCCGAATCGAAATGTTGCTTTTTCCATACACGGACGATCGAACCGGTGGTAATAGTATAATACTTTCCTCCAATTGATCCTGGTCGGATTGACAACAATCAATCCCATCATACCCGTCGATACACACACGCCCATGATGATCCTTCAGTTGAGTATTCTCCGAGAATTTTTCTTTCTGGGCAAGTTGAGTATTAGCAGAGTATGATTTGGATAGAATTGATTGATTTTTTTTTTTTTTCTTTTTGAAAACAGATGGACAGTTGCGGCAACGACAATCACCTCTGGCTTATCATACGTTTTCTCCAGGAAAGCCATCCGATACATCCGATGATTACCACCCTACATTCTTACCTCTCCATCGCTGGTTGTTGTTGATGTTATTGTTCTGGTGGAGATGGCCAAGCGAAATCGTTTTTCAGAATGCCTCCTTCTCTCCACAAAAAAAAAAAGAAGAAGAAGAAGATTGGACAACATGGTTTCTTGCTTTCCCGAAACCTTTCTCGATCATCAGGTGCTCGACTTGGTGATACGCAGATCAATCGAGGGTGGAGAATGGAAGTGTGGCCACCAGATCAAGGGACGGGGCTCTTGACATCGACCCGACACGCGGCGTTTCAATTGGTTTCGGGTCAGATGTGGCACGTGATCAGCTGTTTGAACCTCCAAGAAAAATATTTTCCGGCATATAACAATTAGTGTAAATGTGATCTGACATCTTCATGATCTGTGACCAATTTTGTGCGCCCAGACTGTTGGTTGCTTGGTGAGATGAACACATGAGAGCACATCTTGGGGAAAGGCAAGCCGCCAAAACAAGGAACCAAATGTTCTCTCTTGGCATTTCACATCCCTTGAATCCTTTCCCTCCTGGTAAATCCAATCCTAATCTTGCGCACCCGAAGTCTCCTGCAGGAGCAATGAATAGATAAAACTGGGATGAAATGATGAAGGGCTTCCCACCGGTCTGGATTGCCTAATGTAGATGGGGTAAATTTAAATTCCAAACTTTGTTTGGTGGTGTGAACCTAACCGTCATTAATTTCCATTACCAAACAAAGTTTGAAATTTAGACTTCAAAGTTCCAGATTAAGGAATTTGGGCCATGGGAAGTGCTCCATCCAGCATGACACACATGGCTGAGTTGATATATGTATGTAAGGTGGTCTGGACTACACTCTTGGCCAAGTCTACATGGGTGGGGAAATTCACTTATTCAATACATGCATCCATAAGCCACTCCAGGGTTTCTTCCAACTCTGCCCAGCGCAACCAATGAACCCACTCAAAGAACATTCGGGTTTCTTCTGCAAGTGTTCATTATCTCTGCTCTCTCTCAACAGTGGCCCCACTACGCTAAAGGTAGTGTTAGCGTAGTGTAAAGTCACTACGGCTAACACCTTGCCAAATTTGATGTCAAAACATGTCAGGTGACGTGAAGGGAACACCAGATTTGATTACAGAACTACTCCCTTATTTTTTGATGTATGTACTTAGGTTTTCCTTTCACTTATGAGTCAAGCCCCCTTCTGCTGTGGGCTTGCTCAGGTACCGGTTGGGCCTGATGATGCAAAGTGGATGAGCCACTGGACACTCAGCCAAATCATAAGTCCTCCTCAGCAGTTTCTTTCTGAGTCTACCTCTGGCCAACAAAGTTACTTTGAAAGCAAACACTCTCAAATCAAGTGTAAATCATTCATATATTTCTCTCTTTGATTGTATTATTTGGTTTCAAAGGCTACCTCATCTTTTTCTTCTCTTTGTTATCTTCAGGTACTATGACTCACATCATATCCCCTCTCTCCACTCTGAGGTATGTAGTGCTTCCATACCTCTAAGGTCATGCTTAATGATATGATCTCTTTCTCCACCTGTGAAGCCCCTCAACATTATCCATCTTTGCTCCTTGCTCATCTTCCCTGGTCTTCCAAGGATATCTGCCAGTCTCTCAATGTTTTTTTCAAATCAGTGTCTCAACTGCATGGGTCTATACAACAAACACAAGCATACTGCCTCCTCAAAGAAGCACTATCACAAAGAGCACACAATGCAGCCTCAAGCATCTCTTGGGATCCCAGTAGTTAACAGGTCTACTGTATGCCTGCACTCGTTCAGTCAAGTAAACTCACCTCAAACCACTCAGACAAAGATCCCCATCACATCCCCCCCTCATGCCAACTCAAACCTCACAAATTACCATTCCTTTACAACTTTTATCACCCAGAAACCTGGTTAAGGATAGCTGTCAGCCTTAGAGACAGCAAGCCTGTCCAAAAGACTTCAAATGTAAATAAATAAATTTATTCTTTATTCACTTTTCTCTTGAACAAGAGTTTTTACTATTTAAAATACATTTCATATGATTGAATACAGTCCTTTATCAGATTCTCCTCATTTTTTTTTTTCATACACAATGCATGAAATGTGATACAATTGTGTTGTGTGCTTGGTATAATCAAGGTTGAAAATAGAATGATTTTCCGAGTTCAAATTTAATATATTCAATTTGACTCTCATCCCACTGGCTTCCTTCTTTGAATGTTTGAACTTCCCTCTCCCATATCGTCAATTAATCTTTGAGCATCAGTTTCTGGGGCACGCCTCACATCCACCTTGACTTCCTCATTGACTTCCTTCTCCTTCACCTCCTCCTCTTTTTCCTTCCCTTCCTTTCCTTTGTCTTTCTTTTCCTTCCCTCGAACTTCCTCCTCTCAAATCTCCAATCCTCAAAGTTCGCCTTCTACCTCCTCTTTGCTATTCTCTTCTTCTCAAACTTCTTTGACTTGGACCTCCATCCTTCAAAGTTTGACATCCCCTGATTTGGTTTCCGGCCCCTGATTTGGCTCTCGCTCCTTGCTCACCAGCTCCAATTGACTTTTGAGAATCATTGGATCTTGCAATATTCCTGGATATGGAGGCGGTGGTGTAGCGTGGTTGATTTGAAATAATCAGAACCCCTTAAAAAAAACTTCTATTAAAACGTATAATAACTCTATCTTCTTCAAAAAATACTCACCTGTTAAATCCTCAATCTCGGGTGTTCCCAAAAACAGCGGAATTGGGTAGTTCACTTCCAGCCTGGCTCTTTGTGGAAGAAAAACTTCTTGTTTCGACAATCCTGAGACTTTGACACGTTCTGGCGTAGATGTTATACTGATAATTTGGTGGCTTTGGCGGCGAGAAGGAGCTAGGGATGGTGGTAGTGGTGGTATTAGTTGGCTTTCCAGATCTCCAAAAGGAAATCCATTCGGGAATCTACACAACACTTTTCAACATTGGAAGGCTTCACATTTCATTCAAATCCCTCAACTAGCAGTACTAGGCCTGCATTCCAAATTCATTCGAGCACATTCATCACATCTTCTTTCTATGTTCGAAATCTCTTCCATTGAATTTTCTTTTTTACTTTTTGGGTTTCTTTCTTTGAGTTAGTGTGGTAGTAGTAATGGGGGTGGATGATGTTGGTAGTGGTGTGGGAATTGTTGTCTCAAACTCGCAGGAGCTCGTTGGTCTTTTATACCCGGGCAACTGTCACGTGTCAAACTTCTTGGCACAGCTTTGAACCAAATTCTGCTCAAAAGCACGCGCTATTTGACCAAACATCTACTTATCCATTTCAACACAAGACACTCAACCAATGAAAGCTTGACATTTTTCAAATCAAATGCAAACCTGCTTTTCAAATTTCGACTTTCACGCAAAGGAACTTCAAAGTTTACTCAGCAAAACTCAGCTCGGTAACTCCTTCCTTTTTCAGCTAGCGTGGCCATAACTCATTCTGCCTGTGCTCAGCAACTAGTCTTTGACACAATCCCAATCCGTCAAAGCACCTTTANCTCAATGCAACCTCAAGCACTCTGGATCCCAGAATTAACAGGTCTGCTGCATGCCTGCACTTGGTCTGTCAAGCAAACTCACCTCAGACCCCTCAAACAAAAATCCCCATCACATCCTCCCCTCATGCTCACAAATTACCATTCCCATACAACCCTCCTAACCACAGCAAAGAAACATGGGGAATCAAGAGTCAAGCTTCAGAATCACAAAAGCAAAGAAACGTGGGGAATCAAGAGTCAAGCTTCAGAATCACAAAAGGCAGAACATTCACAGTCTCTCTCACCAGGAACAATCAATAAGCAGCTGATGACAGGTGACATAAGGCTACTGAATTGAATCAATTCAGTAGTCTGATGTCACTTGTCATCTGGTGATCATTCTTTGGTCCTGGTGTTTCCAGATTGCAGTGGCGTGGAGTCTTGTATCCATCTATGAATCTATCCATTAACCAACCACAGCAAAGACAAGTGGGGAATCAAGAGTCAATCTTCAGAATCACAAAAGGCAGACATTCACAGTCTCTTTCTGGGTTGCAGTGTGCAAAGGGCGGTAACAAGGGATTTTTTGTTATTGGAGTTAAAGAAGGATACTCACCTATCTAGAAGTTTTCTAAACCAAAGAGTACTCGCCACACCTCGAGGAGAACTCTCAGTTACCTACTGAGTCAGTTTTTCTTTTCACACCGGCAAGTCAATTCTCTCCGGCCTCTTCTTCAATCCCGTCAAGAACATCAAGAAGCTCAAGATTTCAAAAATCCAACAGCTCATTGGCTTAACGTGATTCAATTCATATTCAAGATAGCTTGTGTGAAGTACATCAACCATCTCTCAACTCAAGCTTAACACATTCTCTAATAAACTGATCATCTCCCTTACTGAATATCATTTTAATTTATTAGAATTCACTTTCCGTCTCCTCTTTTACACTCTCTCCAAGTCCTCATCGCCTGGTTTGTCATTATTCCTTTCTTATTTTCTTCTTCTTTTCCTTCCCTTCCTGATTGCTGGCTAAATCCCTCACTTTTCTTTCTCTTAAGCTCATTTCATTACAGTTCCTTGTCCTCTAAATAGTCCTCATATTTCTATCCTTTTCCATTCTTAGACTGGTATGATCATTCTTCCCTCTTGTTTTCTGCTGTCTTTATTTGATTCATCGATTAACCTTGTTTTCTTTCCTTCCAGTCTGGTCTTAGTTTTCTAGAAATCATTCATTGTTTTTATCCGATTGACAGTCGAAACGCAACCTCAAAAACAAATATTCCCAAACAAAACAACAAACAAGACAATAAGATTTTAAGATGGACACTATTAACCCAACAATTTTGAAAACCACAATCAAGGCTATGCCTGGAAAGATTGAGCTGTCACAACCTGGTCTCATCAATAAAGGACTGGAAATGCTTGCCTTAAGAAATTGTCAAGAATGCGGGTAAGAGTGCAATGGATGTGGTGGTAAATTTGCATGATCCCTGCTGCTGCTGTGGTATTCTTAAATTTTAAAAAATTAAAAAAATATTTCTTTTATTCTTGTATTCTTTTTGTCTTGTCTTTTTCTATCTTTTTCTCTATTTCTCATACTAAAGGACAGAAATAACAACATCTGATGGAAGAAACAGACTCCCCAACTCACTTTAACTGGCCACCTTAGACAGCAACCTCTCAAAACCCTTGGATCAGAAGTTACACACCCCCTTTGGCCACCAACAGTACAAATCACCAATCCACCACACATACCACATAATCAATAACACACACAAAATACAACAATCACCCCATAAACTCAATCACATGTACATGTACAGATGCATGCAGGTTCATGCAGACTAAACTAGTGGATTTTCCCAGATTTGATCTAATTTAGTGTGTTTGGTTCCAGCACATGACTCATGCAGGCTCATGAAGTCTAAACTAGTGGATTTTCCTTACCTTAGTTTTTTTGTGGCTGTGCACTCATCACCTGATGCAAGATCTTCACTATTTTAGTCTATTTTCCTCGTCTGAAACCACCTTTTGACAGGCTGTGCAAGCACATGACCTGATTAGTGTGTATTTTAGTTAAATTCTGTTTGTTCTAGTGTGTTCTATGGCACTTCCAGGCCAGCTAAAATCCCTCAACTTTGTCTATATAAGGGGGCTCTCCTCTAGTTGTTTTCCTCTTTCCTCATCAGAGTTGCTCACCAGATTTTTCCTCATCAGATTCTGGCATCAAATTTTACACATACCCTTATTAGTCTTTATT